AAGTCTACCTGGAGGTGCGTCGCATCGACCCCGAGCGCATGGACGGGCTTCCGCGGTCCGTCGGTCGTCTTCTTGGCCAGCGCCGGCTTCCCGACCGTGATGCTCGACGGCTTCTTCGTGAGCTCTTGCACCTTGGACCGGCCAAACATCGGTGAAAACCCCAAATGGCAAGAAACCGCAAAAGATCGCAACAAAACTACCGAGGCTAATCGCACGCAACGCAACCCCCGACCGTTCGACCGAGTGGCGTACTACCCCGACGAAGCGGGATGTAGGAAACAACGCAGTCTTCATGACCGATTCTATCGGCACGGGTGGATCAGTGTACGAAGGGCTCCACAACACAGACCAATATACAGACCTAGTTGAGACAATTTCTTCCAGCGAGCTCTGCTCATTAAAATAAATTGACCCATTTCAACAACACAGACCAATATATCGACAGTCAGCCCTCCTGCTCCAGCTACGTATGAGGCGGATGACCAGTGCATGCCGGTGTTGCAGCGATATATGTACTAGCCTAGGCGTGCGACCTGCACGACTCGTTCGCAGCCGATGCAAGGCGTGGATATCAATAACGCGATCATTGATCGATCCAATGGCATGCTCCTTCTTGCATTTAGCGTTCTACAGCTTGGTGCAGTAGCAAGGGGGACGCTGGGGTGGACGGGCCTCGAGCAACTCAGTTTACAACACTAATCCTTGACGACGTCAGCCGATCGCTTGACAGAGTGAACATCTCAAACTCAATTGACATTGAGACTCATGACGACTGTACTACATCTGAAACTCAACAACGCGGATGCAGTTGTGGTCGCAAAGTTGAGTCTCCAAGTCGCCGTTTTGCACCGGATCCGGATAAACATTTGGAGTTTGCCGCGCGAGGCCATCTCGGCCTGTCTCGCGCCCTTGTCGGATCGACGACGATGGACGGGAAGGCGCCGCCGCTCTTCGGCAAGAAGGCGCCCAACCTGAGCTTTGGGCAGTACATGGCGTCCAAGATTCGCAAGCTGCGCGGCCAGAACGACGGCATCGGGCGGCTCGACCGCATCTTCGACGGCGTCGTGATCTTTGTCAACGGCCACACCGAGCCGCCACGAGAAGAGCTGCGCCAGCTCATCTTGCAGCACGGCGGGCAGTACGAAGCGTACCACACGAGCCGCGTCACGCACATGCTAGCGACGCACGTCGCCGAGTCCAAGCTCAAAGAGCTCTTGTACGTACAGACTCCACGGCGGCCTCATCGATGCGCTGTCGTAGGCGCGCCCGGAAGCCACTGCCCGTCCTTCACCCGAAGTGGATCCTCGACAGTATCGAGAAAGGCCGGGTGTGCCGCACGCAGCCTTACTTGTACGCTGGCTACCGAGCGGTCGGCCAGCAAACGCTGCAACTCACCCCGACAACGACGATGCCAGCACCTACCACGTTACCAACACCTACCACTTTGCCAGCACCTACCACTTTGCCAGTACCTACCACGTTGTCAGTACCTGCCGCACCGCCAGCACCATGGTCGTATGCCCTCGCACCGCCGAAGCCTCCATCGGCGCCACACGTCAACGCACCATCTGGACACACCACGGTACCGACGCTTGGACTTGGCCGCCAGCCAGCTCCAGCGATCGATTGTTCGTCGATGCAGCCCGTGCAAACGGGTCAGCCTTCGGTATCCGCTGTGGTATCAGCACCCTTGCCGGCGCCGGCACCCTCGGCATCCAACCCACCGAACGCGAGCGAGCCAGCATCGCCGACGCGCATTGCCAGTCCGCCTCAGACACGAAGAAGTCCACCAAAGGGGTCGCGTGCGATCTCGACCCGCGACGGCATCGCAGCCTTCGTACGCCACTTCTTTGACAACTCTCGGCTGCACCACATTGGGTCGTGGAAGAGCTTTTTCCAGTCGCACGCGGCCGAGCTCATGGCGTCGGCGGCACCGCTCGTCGCATCGCAGTACGGGCACTGCGAGAGCAACGAGCGCGTGATCTTGCACGTCGACATGGACTGCTTCTTCGTGTCGGTCGCGGTGCGCAACCTCCCGCCCGTCTACAAGACGGTGCCAGTCGCCGTGGCGCACTCGGGCTACTCGTCGCACGATACGCCGCAGGTACGTGCGTT